TTGAAAATTTTCAACGTTATTCTCATAGTTGAATGACTTTAATCTCATAATATTATGACTTCATTCTCATATTCTCATATTTAAAAAAAAAACTCTGTAGTTTGGCCCTAATAGTAGTTAGGAAATAAGAGTTACAAAAAAACATTTCAGCATACAAATACAAATCTGATCCATTTATCCCAAATATTAGTATATATATATATATATATATATATATATATATATATATATTTTACTATATTTCTGATGTTCAGACATCCATCTTATTCAGCCCTGCAGAGGAAGTTTCCTACCCTGGATGTTTTTGGTTCCATTTCATCCCTACTGAAGCCAGAGGCGGTGCTTCAAGCACTGAATGATCATTCTTTTGCAGGTCGAGTATTAATGACAACAAAGTCACCTGTGACCTCCTGGGGACCCACGTGACTCTATTAAGTAACATGGCACCCGGCGTTCAATCCTTTTCCCTCTTGCGCGCAGGTGTGGTCATGTGAAGCTGGTTGCTTCTCTGTGTACCACTGTTATCCTAGCTGCTTGTTGCCGGTAGCCCCGTGACCTGGTTTGGTCGGAGCTGCAGGTAAGTCTCGCCCTCCAGGGGCTGCACAAATCGCGCAGGCATCAGGCATATGATGCTGGGTAATCTGTGCTGCTCGACTTGTCTGCCTCCGCTTCAGCCCGACGACGGGCATGATTTCTGGGAGGCGCTGTCTGATAATGCTTGCCCTAACTCTTGCGTCATGCCCCGGTCAGTCAGGCTGCGTGGGAAAGCACCTTGCCTTTCCGGGTGGCAACGGAAAGGCAAGGTGCTTTCCGTTGCCGGTGGCAAACGGCCTATAGTGGCTGTACCTTCGGTGCCGGCAAAGCGAGCCAGGCAGACTGACCGCGGGTAGATTGTCCATGAGAGTGGATCATCTCACTACTGAGCTGGCCCAAATGAGGGCCCTGGCCGGGTCAGGATGACTGTGATCTGCGACCCGGTGAAGGCACAGGCACTGGACCAAGAGATCCGCACCTTGCCGGCCAAGGGTGTTATAGTGCCTGTGGACCCCCTGCGGTATCCAAGGGGCTTTTATCCCATGTATTTTCTGGTTCTGAAGAAGACCGGGGACCTACGTCCAGTAGGAGGGACCAGGCGGTTCGAAATACTCTGTTAGCACTCCATCATGTGGGATGCTTGGGCTTGCAGGTGAACATGGTGAAAAGCAGTTTGACTCCCTCACAGGAGACTGCGTTCCTGGGCATTACCATGAATTCCATTCCAATAACTGCTTGCCCGTCACCCCAGTGGGTGAACAGTGTATTGAGCATGCTCCTGGAAATCAGGCCCTGCCTCTTGTGCGGTATCTTCACGTTTTGGGCAGGCTTACAGCTGCATCCTCTTTAGTGCCCTTAGGGCTGCTGTCATTGCGGCCCCTCCAGATGTGGTTGAACAGCTTCAATCTGGACCTCGCACGGAACATGCATCGTCTCAGAAGACTCCGGGTGGGGCCTCAATGTCTTCAGTCTCTGTCACAATGGAGGGTGAGGTTGTTTATGACAACAGGGGTCCCGCTCGGCTCCCTACCGTGTCGTTGGAAGGTTTTGTTTACGGATGCATCCTCCACAGGCTGGGGTGCAACATGGCGGGATCGAATGGCCCAGGGAACATGGTGTCAGCGGCAGAGCAGGGAACACATAAATGTCCTGGAATTACAAGCTGTACTCCTGGCTCTTCAGAGCTTTCTTTCAGACTTGCAGGAGAAGCATGTGCTGGTGAGGTCAGACAACACCACTGTGGTTTTTCACATCAACCACCAAAGGGGGACCAGGTCAAGGAAACTGTTATGCTTGACTCGACAGCTGCTGACCTGGGCAGCTCCATACTTGGCCAGCCTCAGGGCAGCCTACATCCCCAGGCCAGAGAATGTGCCAGCAGATTGTCTATACTGTCAGAAGCCGCTTCCAGGAGAGCGGAAGCTTCACCGAGAGGATCAGGAAGGTCTTCGGCAGGGCGGACGTGGACCTCTTTACCTCCAGGGATGCATTTCACTGTCCCCTTTGGTTGTCTTTGGACAACAGCAGCCCTCTGGGCCACAATGCGCTGGCACGCAACTGGCCCCAGACCCTCCTTTATGCCTTTCCACTATTCAGCCTGCTCCTTCAGACTCTCCTAAGGGTACGTCAGGAAGGGCACAGGGTTCTGCTGGTAGCCCCCTTCTGGCCAACGAGGACTTGGTTTCCTCTACTATGCAAGCAGAGCTCCGGTTCGCCAATGCGTCTCCCCCCCAGGAGGGATCCTCTCTCCCAGATGGGGGGTCAGGATTTGCACCCGAACAGGACCGGCTCCAGCTCCGGATTTGGCTCCTGCAAGGCAGGAGTCCACTTTCTTGAGATACACTGGGTCGATAGGGCGTACAATGGCTAACCCATGGGCGCCGTACATGCGGGCTGCCTATATTAACAAGTGGGCGGTCTTTGCGACCTGGTGCCGTAATAAGGGACAGGACCTGGCGCAGTGTTCAGTCTCTGACATACTGACCTTCCTGCAGGCATCACTGGATCAGGGACGGTCTCCGGCTACCTTAAAAGTGTATGTGGCCCCTGTTTCCTGTTGGCCTAACGGGCTGATTGGTTGCTCAGTTGGCCGAGACAAGGATGTTGTACAGTTTCTGAGGGATGCTCAGTGCCCAACCGCCCTGTGGCACCGACATTTGACTTTTCTCTAGTGCTTGAGGCAGTTTGATCTCTCGCATTTAAACCCCTAGCATCAGCAGACCTCAAATGGCTTTTACTGAAGACGGCATTCCTTTTGGCTATGGTTTCCACAAAGCGTGTGGGTGAATTGCAGGCTCTCTCAATGGCCGAGCCCTGCTGCCGGTGGAATCCCAATGGCTCAGGTGTTGCACTGTGGCCTGATGTACCGTTTTTCCCTAAGGTGCCGCTGCAAACTGGGGTTTGGATTTTATCTCCAAGGCTAATGCCTCATAGGACCGGCCGCTGCCGGCAGGAGTGAATTGCCACCCTACAAGGGGCATGTCGACATCATTTGCTGCCATGACTGGGGTGCCATTGGATATTATATGCCCTGCGGCCTCCTGGAAATACCCCAAGAACCTTTTTATCGGTTTTACAGGGTGAATGTGGCTGAACCCCAACCTTTTCAAGGAATCCTGGAGCAGCATGCCTCTACATCACAATAGGTGGGTGGTGTAGGGGTTGTCCCTTGAGTGTTGCCGATTCCTCATTACCTTATTGACATAAGTCATCCAGTACTTGAAGCACCGCCTCTGGCGGTCAGCAGGGATGAAATAGAACGAAAGTGACCAACGTAACTACGGTTCTATGAATCCCGGATGACAGCCAGAGTGCTTGGTCCCTCAGGATCTCTGCTTCTTGCGAGAAGATTGAGGGATTGAACGCCGGGTGCCATGTGGCTAAATAGAGTCGCGAGTCCCCGGCAGCTCACAGGTGACTTTGTTGTCATTAATACTCGACCTGCGCATCCGCAAGAATGATCATTCAGTGCTTGAAGCACCGCCTCCGGCGGTCATCTGGGATCCATAAAAGCGTAGTTACTGTAGTAACTTTCGTTATGTCTCCTAACTTTACGCCCTCCTCCTCTTTTTATCCAGGACCCCAAAGAGTGGACCAAGAAGGTGATCCACAACATCGCCGGCTGTGGGAAGTTCTCCAGTGACCGCACCATCTCCCAGTACGCTAGGGAGATCTGGGGGATGGAGCCCAGTTTGGAGAAGATCGCCGCTCCGGATGATCCTCGCTAAAACTCCGCTGCTTCCTTCCCTTCAGCCGTAGCTCACCGTGTGCTTAGCCCCACCCTGTAGCCTCTTCACTTTGCGCCGCGGCGTCTCTTCCTGAACAGATCGGGTGGTTCCCGCTTCACCTGGGGAAAAAAAAAGAAACGGTTTTTAACTTTGAAATGATTTATTTTAGAAAGATAGAAAGCTTTGCTAACTCCGGTTACTGAATATTCTCAGACTGTAGCTGCGTTGTTTCTGGGAACAGGTAAAGATTTTCTTCTGTTGTTCTTTTTCTTTGCGGTTGAACAAAAAGGGGACGTTTGAACCCATATTCCCACATTCCTTCACAAAAGGCCAGCGGATGAACCTCGTCACTGTTCTTCCAAACCGCCGTGTCTCGTTTTAGGCAGAAAGGAGGCGACGGGTACGTGGGGTTAAAAAAGGAAGCCATTTCTCCATCTTTATGTGAAGATTTCATGTTAAAGAGATGCTGACTGTTAAATGTTTTTCTGTGTTAGCTGAATGTAATAATTTCTCTTTAAAGATATATTAATATATAACTATAGAGAAGAGCTTTAATGCAGATTATATATATATTTAGTTGGCATGTTTGTGGCTCATTCTGTCCTGTCCCTGAAAGTGATCCATGTTAAGGAATAAAACTGCCTTGTTTAGCTGAGTTTTTTTGTGGTAAATGTTCGTCTCTATCTGCTGTTCTTGTGTGTGAAACATGGCGGCGTCCTCCACAGACGCTCTACTGTAAACCTCACTCTGGCGCTTTTCTGCAACTTGCCTGTTTTGCTGCAAAAAACGACCAGAAATCTGATCTTTTTAGTTTAATAAAAGATGGAACCTATAGTCCAGCTCTTCTTTGTTTTAACATATCGGTCACATTTCTACACTATTCTAAAGAATTCTTTAAAACTAATTCAGTTCAGTTTATTTCTATAGCGCCAATTCACATCATGTCATCTCAGGGCACTTTCCAGTTCA